TTGTGACTGCATTACCTCACTCAGAATGGTTTCTTCTAGTTCCATCCATTTGCCTGTGAATTTCAATATTCTATTACTTTTTTCCGCTGAGTAGTACTCCATTGTGTAAATGTACCACATTTTCTCTATCCATTCTTCCATTGAGGGGCATCTAGTTTGCTTCCAGGTTCTGGCTTTTATAAATAATGCTACTATAAACATAGTTGAACAGATGTCCTTGTTGTATGAATGTGCCACAAATGTCTTCTAAGAAGAAAATCATTGGTAGAAGAGAAGATGAAGTACTATGAACGAGATAACACTACAGAAATTCTTGTGTAAGGTATGCTTGGTAAATGGCTTCTCATTTTTTAATGACACGTCTATCTGTATCTTTTAGTTCAAGCACTTGGTTATCTTATCAGAGTCCTCATGTGTCTTAGTCTTTATTTCACTGTAAGTTATATGAAGGTAGAGACAATATCTTTACTTATGTGTTAAAAGATCTTCACTTATCAGAGCTTATTATGTGGCCTTCATACTTCCCTTGATCAGAATATCCTTTGCTTCTCAAAAGGATTTACTCATTTGTATCTTATGAGTATGAGTATTTTGCACAGATGTTTGTGCACCTCATGGGCGCATGATTCTAGAGGAGACTAGAAGATGGGGTTGAACCATCTGCAACTGCAGTTTCAGATAGGTGTGAGTCACCATGTGGGTGCTAGGATTCAAACCAGTATCCTCCACAAATGTGTCAAATATTCTTAACTGCTGAGCCACCTCTGCAGCCTCTACTTAGAAAAACAAAACGAAATAAAACAAATGAAAAAACAAAACAAAGCAAAACAAAAGAAGGAATCCAAGGAAAGTCCCTTGCAGTAGGAATAAATCAGTACTGGCAGGACAAGGTTTGGGGACAGAAGGTAATGGATCATTTTCTGTGTTGAAGGTCAGTTATGTTAAATCTTAACGATCACTGAAGTTAGAAAGTTTATATGTCCACACTTATGAATACACAACACTGTCTTGTAGACATTTTCAGGTGTTATCTTGCTTTTCTCTTGGGTTTTATATTGTTGTTGCTCACAAATATTTCTAGAATCAGAGTTACTTCAAAATAAGGTTTTTAAAATTAATGTATGTTTACAAACTAAAGTTCAGTTTTTAGATTTCTAGATTTTAAAAAAGAACCTAAACTTCATTACTTATAAAAATCTACTAAGACAAGGAAGCTCAGCAGGCTCTGGGAAGTCTTGATAATGAGTTAGAATACATTAGGATATTACATAAGTAAGTCTCTTAATGTATGAACTCTAAAGAGATGGTGGCAAATGGAAATTATACATTTGTTGTTAACAACAGAGGTTGGAAAGACATTTTGATTTATAATGCAGGAGGATTGCAATTTCACTTTCCACTGGGTAGGCAGAAAATGGGCTCTGCTTCATTACATTGTGAGATTAGTGTTTGTGCTGAGTCCCCATCCAAGTGAGCGAAGTTGAGTCATTGAAGGATGAAGTATTGAATTTCTTTCCAGGAAGCTCTCAGCTCATATGGAATCTACTGCTGCTTCCTGGTTCTTCCCTCACTGGTTTATTTCTTCTCCTCTTTAGAGGTTGAGTTGTGAGCAGGTACAATAGACACTTCAGATTTCCTCATATTATTAAGTCAGGCTGCTGCATTCAGAGGTAAAAGAGAATTCTGCTTGTTTGTCCATCTCAAGCCAATTTCCATGGCTAGCAAACATAAAAGTTTCTTAAGATGGAATAGGTATAGGAACAACTGTGTATCACTGAGAATTTCCTTCCCTTGTATGATTGTTACTAGTCAATACTCGCTACATAACAAATTACTTATAGAATTAGCTTTATTTTAAAAAGAAAACACCTGGAACTTGGGCTGCTGCCTAGGACCTTGTTTGGGTCTATGGTCCTGCAATAACTGGAGTCTGTATGGTGGTCCATTGCCTATATTACCACCAAAGGCCACATGGATGCCAGGGGTCTAGGTCCTAACCTGTGGCCATGTGGGTGTCCAAGGGCCATGCTGTCACTTGGGCCATGTTGATCTGAGTGACCTGAGCTGTCATCTGGGGCCACAATGTCATCTGGCTCAGAGTTACTGCATAGGACCATGTCTGGATCCATGGCCCCATAGCAGCCAGGGTCTGAGATGATGTCCATGACTCCTGTTACCACTACAGATACCCAGGGTCTGATCAGTCACCTGAGATCATGGTGGTATCTGAGGGTCATGATGCTGCCAGGGCCATATTGATCTTGGTGACTTGTGCTGACACTGGAACCATGGTGATGTCTGGGCCCAAGCTCTGCCAAGGGATGAGTTTGTGGTCCTGATGCAGCTGGGGTGTTTATTGATGTTTATGGACTGTTTTACCACAAGGGTCATAGGAAGCATGCATGTTGGAATCTGAGCGCTGTGCTGAGATGGCCCTGCCCTTCACTGGCCCTGTCCCTTGCTGGATACTGCAGCAGGAGAACTAGTGACCCCAGAGCCCCACACTAGAGAAAGATGGCCAGATGACCCCACACCTCACCATGGGCATGCAACTCACCTGGGCAACATACTAGAGCTGACCTTGTTGGAGGGGGCACAAAGCCAATCCTGAGGGTATGAGAACAGCAAAGTTGACTCTGTGCTCCTCCCACCTCACATGCCCCCTACAACAATCAGTAGAGAAGGTCATATACCTCACCTGAGCACAAGAGTAGTGCTTGTGGTGTGAGTGTGGGTGAGCCTGACCGAGATCTTGAGAGCAGGAGAACTGGCCTAGCTCTGTGCTGCAGGCTGCACTGGGTGAGCTAGCTGAGGCAGTGCGGGAAAGCTTGCCTGTGAAGCGACAATGAGGGAAAGCTAGTGAGCTGACCAGCTCGGCTATCACCCAGGTCCAGAACAAGGTCTGTGAGTTGGCCCATCCCAACATCTACCCTATCTATGAAATTACACAAATCAGACTTCAGGAAAGCCACTATAAACCCATGTTGATAAACTAAGCTAGAATTGTATCACCAGATTCAAAACACTTTGTTCTTTACTGTGTCTTTTGGCCTCACCAAAGCTTGGTGATCTGTTTATGTGTAACCTAGAAATGATGAACTTATGGGAACAGAGAGCAGAATTGTGGCTATTAGGCTTCAATGTGGGTCTTTTAACAATAGGGGAACGATTGGTTTAAGAATATAAAACTGCAGTTGGACAAGAGGCATGGACTCTGTGATGTCTTGAGGTCTACTGAGAGTATGTTAAATATGGTTGATAACGATATGCTTTATTTTAAAAGTTGTGAGATAGTATACTTTAAGTGTTCTCAAAACAAAAATGCTGAATATGTGTGATATAACATGTTAATTGGTTTAATTTAGCCATGCCATTGTGAACATACTGTATTATGTATCATAATTGTGCATGACTTTATTTATGAGCTAAATAAATGAATGGAAGAAAAAAAAAGCTTGGTGGTCTGACAGGAAAGACGCCATTTTCTTTTTTCTCTTGATACAGTAACTGAAGCTCAGAGGTGTTCACGGGGTGCTGTGAGTCTCATAACTACATGAAACATAGACAGTGATTTGAGTCAGACGATCTGACTGTAAATCCATCCCCTAATCTACTGTCACTAGCTAGCTAGTTTTTGTAAGACTGATACCACACCTGATTGTGTGTCTCATATTAGAATTTTGGCTCCAGGTCATAAAAATGGTAGTAGTCTTGCCATAGAATATTGAACAAGAGATTGTAAAACAAGGCAGACCCAGTTCCCAACTTGTCACCTTCATATTTCCTTAAGTTTATCTTTCTGTTGTATTCATAGACTATTAAAAAATTGAAGGGATAAATAGGGTGGGTTGTGGATACCATTGGTATCTTATATCGAAGACTTAGGAGCAGTCTCACTGAAGAAAGTCTAAGGATGCCATTTGGTACCTGTGGGACTCATTCTGTTATTATTAGAGTTTTGAATGACACTGGAGAGATGAGCTCTGGGGACAGATCCATCTTGGACTTCTGATTTCCCTTTTAATTATTCAGTATGCTTATTTGTATAGTGGTTGCCTCAGTTTTACATCAAATAAATAAGACAATACATTTGAAGTGCTTTATTTATTTATTTTTGATTTGATTTTTCAAGACAGAGTTTCTTTGTGTAGCTTTGGAGCCTGTTCTGGAACTTGCTTTGTAGACCAGGCTGGCCACAAACTCATAGCAGTCTGCCCACCCCTGCCTCTACCACCACCCAGCCATTTGAAGTGCTTCATGCAGAATAAATGCTGATTGGTTGTGTATGTTCCCCAACTGAGGGATGCATTCATATGTGATAAAAACTTCTCTATCAATCATTCCCCAATTCTAGCCTAAACTATATTAGAACAATGAAATATAGTTTCCACCATTTTCATTTATAAGACTTTCTGTTTTAATAATTTCAGCTTGATTCAGTATATTAAATTAATACAACTGCTGTATTAGACACTGTGTTAGTCATTAGGGACTTTGAAAAAATATAAAAAAATCACTAAAATGAATCTTTATCCCAAAGCTCATAACATGCAAATAAGTGGATGCAATAAATGGGTTACACTGTACAGCGAATTTAATATAAATTATATTAGTAAATTACCATGTGCTGTTTGTGCTTGCTTAGAGTAGACCCTGGGAGCAAGGTGGACCTCCTTGTCTTATACTTAAGTATGTTTAGCTAAAATGTCCTCTGAGATTACTTGTCCTGGGACAAGCTGTCCCTCTGATCCAGTGACAAAGAGAAAAAAGAAGAAATGACCTACTGCTGGGAGGAGAATTAGCCTCTCCTAGGGATATGCTCCCTTGTTTGTTCAGTGCAGAGTGTTTAGTCTTGAAACCATATACGTACCACCAACAAAAATAGACTCAACAGTTTGTGTTTACATGTATTTGTGTATGTGCGCGTGCATGCTCGCATGCACACACACACACAGTATGCATATCTATTTCTGACAGAGGTCCTACTGTTTATTCCACAGGTTTAAAATGCCTGTGATGGAAATGGGAAACTGGAAGCCTCATTTATGGGAAGATGTTCTGCCTGGAACTGTCAGGTGGGAACTTCAGACTGAAAGCTTCAGTAGGGCTTCCCCAGTCACCTCTGCTGCATTATTTAATTACCCGATTTTATGTTCTGCTATATATCTGCTGATTGTTATTTTTTTAACATCAGCTTATAATACCATTAATAAAATCTCTTTCAAAACTGAAAGTATGTCTATTGTGGAAGATTTTTTGAACAGAACAGTAGATTATGGGACAAGTGATAATGGAGGGCTGGATGAGGGAGTTGGCTGTAATAGACGTGCGGTGGTGCTTAGGATGAAGGCCAAAAGTGAAGGATTGAAAATTAGGAAATTGTGTAAGATTTCTTAGGAAGTCTTAGGGAGTTCTAATTTGGATAACTTTTCCATTAGCAATCTTCGTTGATATGCCAAATTCTTATCTCTAGACCTATGTTTTCTATTCTAAAATGGCATATCAAAACTGTTTTCTCAAACACATTTTAAATTCAGCTTGTACAAAATTAATCTTCTCCATCCTTGGACTTTGTATAGAGTTCCTCATCCAAGTTGATGATATCTTTCTTTTAAGCTGCTCTTCAAATACCTTAAGTCATCTTTGACTTACCTCTTTCTTACATTCCACATTCAATACAACAGGAAACCCTATTGGTTTTATCTTCAAAAGAAACCTAGAGTCCAGTCATTATCAGCTTTATACTCTACCAGCAACTTGTTCTGGACTCATTCCAATAGTCTCCTAACTAGGATGTCTGCTTCTCTCTTTGTCTCATTCCCCTTTAATCTCTTCACAGGAAAGCAGCCAGATAAACTGATTTGTGTTTACTTTTCTACTCAATCACAGAATATGTCTTCCTTTTACCTACAGAAAAAATGAAAATCCTTAAAATAATCTGGCAGATTCCATGGGATCTTATACAACCTTTCAGGCTACATCTCTTGTTAATCTGTCCTCTTCTCTGTTTTGACGTACTGGTCTCTTTACCCCTTCCCAAGCCTGAAAGGGACATCCCTGCCCAAAATCAATTGAACTGAGTGTTCTTTCTGTCTAGGAAGTACAGAATGATCTCTCCCTATGTATGAGATACATATGTACTGGGTCAACTCTACTCCCATTCCCAGAGAGGTCTGCTCTGAATATCTGCTGTTATGCCATAGCTTATCTCCTCTTCTCAGACATGTATTTATTTTCCTTTGTATCCCACTCCATTTTCTTCCCATTATTATATTCTGCTTTGCTACCTAATTTAAACAAACTTTAATTATAAAGATTTTGGTGTGTGTGTGTGTGTGTGTGTGTGTGTGTGCTCACTCTTGCTAAACATGCCACATCTGGATACGATATAGACAGGCCATCAAAATACTTGCTGAACAAATGAATGAATTATGAAAACATTTTGTCCCCTCATTATCCTGTCCACATTCTTTTTACGTGTTTTGTAAATTAAATACCCTATTTTGAATAGCAATTCAGTGTATTTTTTAGACAATGTTAGTGTAGAAGAACATGGTTGCTCATAATACATGTACAATACATAAAATTAAAACTAAACCATTTCAAAGAAAGGCACATATTTCTTTTTTTCTTTTTTGTTTCATTTTTTTAGGAATATGTCTTCCAGATCTTACCCAGAAGGGTCTTTATTCCTTCTAGTTACACAAAAGAAGGGGATGAATAATGAGGAAGAAGTCCACAAAATAAGATCAATGGAGTGAAGGTAGTGCCCAGATGCAGGCCATGGGAAATTATTATGGACCTATTGTGATGGCTCATTTATAAATCACACAACTGTTAGTCTAATGACAGTTATGGAGGAGAGAGACATTGAAGGAGTCCTGTGTTTACTTACTCCCTTTACCTCATGGCAAGACTAGAGAAAGAGAGCACCTAGTACCAGCCAATGGCGAAAGGCACATATTTCTATAAATATTAGTAATTTTCTTTTTCAGAATTCTGCACCAGGAAAATAGAAATGTCTGGGGAAACTGGTCATCTTTGGTGCGTGCTCTGCACAGGTATTGCCATTGCACTCTGTTGGAATAGACTTTGTGGCTGCATCATTGTGAGATGGAATCCTCTGTCTTTTGCTTTTCAAGTCATTATTTGCAAAGTCTTGACCTGACCTGCCGTGTCCACTTACTTTAATGAAACATGAAGCTGCCTAAAATGAAATCTCTCATCTTCACATTCTGTTCCTTTGATTAATTTATTGTTGGCATTTAAGCGTGATTGCATTCTCTTGGGAATCAGTGATGTTTTAGGTAATTTCATCTGTTTAATTTACATTTTGTTGAAAGACTTAAGAAGGCAACTGCTTTTTAAACCAAGATCCTCAAATGTCCATGTGTCTGATTAGAGCTGGTCTTTCTATTTTCATTATGCTTTCATGAGTTGAACTTATTAAAATATGAAAATAAGGGAGAGCAAATCCACATGTCAAATACAATGCACCACCGCTTTCCATTCTCCACACAGAGATAGTTTTCCCATCATGCTTTCAAGATTTTTAGATTAAATGTCAAATTTTGCATGTGTGCATCAAGAGACTTCATCATGGAGTACAAAATTCTGCTTTACTTTTTGTTCCAGATTGAGTTTATCTTAGTGCCTATTACCAATAAGGCCATTATATGGTTAATATTGGATTTTGATTTTAATATTGAATAGATCTCAAACTAATATCCCATGAATGATTACACCCCATCTATAATGAAAACAATAAGTATTTAAATAGTATTATATAGGTCACAGATTTTTAAAATTGTTTCTCATGTTGTTATAAATTATGAAAGACAGAGAACCAAAACAACTTATTTCTAGAGCTGATGGAGTATAAGCCATTATAATTATGTATTTTTCCCACTCTATTCCATTCTCTGAAGTTGGTTGTAAAAGGCCATAAATCAAAGAGGAAGAAGAGTCTTCTAGAAGCAAGGCTCCCAATTTTTCTTAAGTTATCTAATCCAGCAATCTTTTAATGAGGGCTTTGACCTATTCCAGTACTGAAAATTGGACCAACACCAAAGAGTCAGACACAGGTTTATAGTTTGGAAATTAAATAAACCTCCAGGACTTATGGGTTGAGTGAATGGTCCTCAGCTGCTGATTGGCTCATGAAGATTTTGATGCTGTGAGTGGATTAGTCTATTGGTAGACTAATGATTTGATAACTGCATTCATTTCTAGTACAAACTTGTAAGTTTGAGAAAGTCAGTTACAGGGGTATGTCACTGAGGCTTTATCCTGACCTGGACCACTCTTTGTCTCTTTCTGGTTCCCAGATGCATCTCTGTTTCATCACAACCCCCCATATAGCCTCAGTAGAAGCCCAGAAACACAGGACCAGGGACCACAGACTGAAACATCTGAAACTGTGAGCTAAACAAATCCTTTTTTCCCCTTCAAGTTGTGTAGACAGTTTTCCTGTCCTGACAGCCTGTCCCCACATAACTGGCAGTTTCTTCCTAAATAACTGACTCAGAAACTTAATATAAATTATAAATGCTCAGCCAATAGCTCAGGCTTATTACTAACTAGTGCTTACATTGTAAGTTAACTCATATTCCTTATTTACTCTCTGCCACATGGCAGTACCTTTATTAGTATGGCACTTTCAGCTCCTGCTCCCTCTAGGTTTGGATGACTTTGCCCTTCTATATCCATCATTCTCAGTTTGTTTTTCTCACCTAACTTTATCCTGTTCAGCTATTGCCAGTCAGCTTGTTTCTTAAACTAATCATAGCAACATATATTCACACAGTGTACTGCAGGATCATTCCATATCAAAGTTGTTCATATATTTTGTTACAGGGAATTAAACTCACTAACACTTAATTCCTAGCTTTTAGAAATTGTGTTTATAATTTTCCTGTCTGAGGAATCTATCTATTCTTTTCTCAAAGTTTAGACTTAAAGAAGATATTCTCTTGTATAGCACCATCCTTCCATTTACATAATATTTGAAGTATTCCAAGTATCAATAACTAAACACATTATCATTTTTATTTTCTGTTATAAGTCTAATGTTACATTCCACTAACATTTCTTTGAGCAGATACTCTCCAGATATTTGTTCAAGCAGCAATAAAATGATCTCAAGAAATTTCCAGTCACAGCCTTCACCATAGTCCATCATTCCATCTAAGAACAGAGTACTTTTCCCTGTTGCTATGTAAGTATAAAATAATGACCCTCTTTTAAAGGAAATATTATATATTTTGAGTCAAATATAGAATAACATTGCTCCAAAAACCTAGATTCAACTTAGATTAAGTGGTATGTTCCATTGTGGAAGAGCTTACAATAAGTTTTACAGTCATAGAAAATGATTGTAAATTTATGTAGTTATCAGCTACAGTGGAGGGAGCATCATTTAAATAGGATATAAGAAGATGGGGCAATCTTTTCCATGTGTTTCAGATACTATAGCATTCTTAGCTTGGGGGTAGGTTGGCTTTCTCACTGGGACCTGGACCGTGTTGATTAGATTAGATTAGGTTAAGCTATCTTGCCCTTGAGCCACATGGATCATCCATCCATATTTGATAGTCACAGCCCTAGTCATCCTCATTGGGGTTCTTTCATGAGTTGAACTTATTAAAATACAAAAATAAAGGAAAGCAAATCCAATGCCATCTTGTTGCTTTATTTTATTATCTTCATATGGATTTAATGACCTCAGACTCTTCAAGTTTTCCTTTATTGTTCCTATGCTTGAAGGTGTAAAGTCTTCTGAGTTCTGTCTGATTACATTCTCTACTATTCAAATGGAGATTCTACTGTGATGTAGAATTCAAGGAATTCAACTATTTTTTTCTTTTCAACCAAGAAATTTGGCACTTTGTTTCGAATGCAGACACTCTTTGTTGCCCCAGGTGCTGAGAATAAGAACTAGGGAATATTATGGAGGAGGAAATGAAAGGATGTAAGAGCTGGACGATAAGGAAAAGGAGGTAAAATGCCATCCTCTGTACATGAAACAGGCACTGAAGTCATGAACTCACAGTATATGCAGTTGGCTTGTCAACAGTCAGCCCTGGATGGGAGAGAGGCTTACAGACCCCTATCTTCCTGCTGAGATATTGTACATAAAAATGTTATGGGGTTAGAGTATCTTTAGGTACATGTCTATTCGTGATCCCAACAGGTTCTATCAGATAGTTCTAGACACATGGTCACTCAGATAGCCCTAAATTGTATGAGTAGCAGAACAAAAAAGATATCATGACAAAAGGATTTGTAAGGAGGAGAAGAGGGATTACCATGAATGGCAAGGAGATAAAAGATCATGAGGGGATGAGAATAATGAGTATATTATGTATATATATGAAATTATCATTATAATTATTGTTATTTTCATTTTATTTTATGTAGTTGGGTGTTTTGCCTGCATACATGTCTGTGCGCCATGTGTTTGGCTGGTACCTGCCAAAGCAAGGAGAGGGTAACAAATTTTATGGGACTGGAATTATAGGCAGGCAAAGTGTGGGTGTTGGGATCAAATCCAGGTCTTCTGGAAAAGCATCCAGTGCTCTTAACAGCTGAGCCATCTTTCTAGCTTCCATGAAGAAAATTATTAAGGAACAAATTTAATTGATTAAAAAAATGATTTGCCATTTTGGCACACTACTGAAAGTTTCTCATTAAAATGCTACTATTCATTTTTTACACCTGGCAAGGTCTGGGAGTGTGGTATGGAGTCATCTTTGATTGAATTCTGAATAAGTTAAGATACAAAATAGAAGAGTAAACAAGCAAGACCCCAGAGGTTTGTTAGTGAGACAGTTTTGTATTAGTGTGAGTACCTGACAGAGTAACTTTAAAACAAAAATGGATTTGTTTTTATCTCATGGGTTTCAGTCCATCATGATGAGACCACCTGGAGTGATGGGACATAGGAAGCAGAGAAACGGAAAGGGACTGGTGATCAGGCAAGGGACCCCAGAGGCCTGCTTTACTCAACTAGGTTCCACCTCCTAAAGTTTTCAGAACTTTCTAAAATACTGCTGAAGCTGAATGCCAAGTGCTCATCATTAAGCCTGTGGGAGAGAGTTCATATTGAAACTATCACCCTGGGTATTGGCAAATGTAGCTTTTTTTCTGCAGAAAAATGTATTTTCTATGATCAATCTCTTGAATTCAGTAGAAGCAGGCAACTTTGAGGATATAGGTAGGATGCTCTCTGTAGGTAGATCCAGTCCAAACAAGGAAACAAGGAAACAAACAAACAAGTAGCTTGCATTTTTCTACCTCAATGTTCCAAGAGGGAAAAATGGCTCATGTTCATCCTAGCATGAGCAAGCAGCAGAGAGTTGGGCCAGGAGTGTTACATACCTGAGCTTATACTACATTTAGGGGGATATCAGAAATGCTATGGTTAATTGTAACAGCAGTGACCCCCCATTTGTTCATGTCTTCTATATCCATAAACTTTATTTGTGTCTTATCATACTCACACTGGATTTTACTGTTGCTTCTTGTTTTGGACAATGAAGAAGTAGTAAATATCCAAGCAGTGATTTGAAAAGTGCCTTCACTTTAGACTTGTCTTCTCTCTCTGCTCATGGCAATGTGTGCCTCCATGTAAAATGAGCAAGTAGCATGGAGGAGAGTGAGTGCTACTTGAGGAGAGGGCCAAGTCATTCCATCTGCTTTGGATGAGGCAGACAGTTGACCAGAGACCACAAGAGGAAATCAAGCTAAAGAACCCCACCACTGGTCTAGCCTGTTTTACAAACCTTTACACTTATAATAGAAGTACCCATGGTTTTAAGATACTTGTCCACAATAGTGTCCTAGTCAGTAGGAGATAAGTGACAAGTGGGGAAGATGCCTTCTCATATAACAGGAAGTGTTTGGCTTCCGTATGGGAGGGGGTAATGTGACTATGTCAGAAATTCCTTAATGAGTAATCCTCTGTTGCAAAGACCAAACCTTATCCTATGCTTATTGTATGCTATAACCACCACATCTTCCAGAACAGAACAGAAGGAAAGCATCAGCTGTCTTGTTGGCAGCTATAATAGATGACTGTGAAGTTTCTGGTAGCATAGCATCTGCTAAGTATACACAGTTCAAGACCATGCCTTCTGTATGAATTCATTCTCATACTGTCTATCCTGTGACTTTTCTGTGCTGGTGAATTGAGAACTTCATTTTCTCAGGCAGTTTACAATCTCTGATAGCTATTTACACTAGAACAGATGTGTTTCTACCATTGGATTTATAGTTGTCAGGCCCAGAACCTCATTTCAGATGAATTCTTTTCCTTAATTTGATTTCTGATAATAGAAGAAACAGCACATAAAATGTAAATTCTATAAAAGGTACCACCAAGTATGTTTATGGAGAAATTGCACTCCCTATGGGAGAATTATGCAGCTATTGCTGAAACATGGCATAATATGAGTGCCTGAAATAGAAGTATACATTACACATCATCATCAACTCAGATTTCCAATAAACATGCACGCCACAAACACTTCTTTGCCAAAGATACCTTGATAAGAACACCATGGGAAAATAAAACATTTTATGTGCCTTGTGTTTTGGGGGGTAGGAATATTCAGAGATCTAATTTAGCTAATTCAACAAACATTTAGTGGGTATCTATTCTATGTCAAGCACTATGGATTTAGACATTGTGAACTTGATTATTACCTTTAAGGAAGCTGCTCTTTGGATCAGGCAATGGATGGCATCAGTATAATGGAGAACATACATTCTGGGGACTACAGAGAAAAAAATGTCAGTGTAGATTGAAGGGAGATCTCAGCAAAGATTTACAAAAGATCATGTGGAAGAAGGAATTAGCCAATTGAGGTTGAGTGGGAAGATTGATTTGTATAGAGGAAATCAATTGTGCAAGAAGCAATTGGAGTTGGTGGCATCAAGCATTAACCTGCTGAACTACTGAACAAAGAGGAGTGAAGTATGGGTTTCAAGGGTACTGGGGGAGAAACGTTGAGCAATGACCTGGGTGAGTGAATGTGGTCCAGATGATAAATGGAAGCATCTCAAACAGCTTAGAGTTACCATGACATTATGGAAGTCATCTAATCATTGAGCATCTTAAACAGGACCATGAATTTGTCAGCTGAGGAGATTTGATTTTTTTTCAGGATGTTATTAGAATACAAAAAATGGATTAGACACATGTCAAAAGGCCATTGCTGGAATTCAGAAAGCAAGAGAAAAACAGCAAAATGAAGTTACTAAGGATGAAGAAAAGTCATCCAAGAAGATATGGAACAAATGAACTTAGCTTATATAATTAAACATAAGAAACAAAAGACATGTTAAAAGCAATTTTGAGGTGAATTTTGGTGAATTATCTGAGAGCTGTAAAGGAGACAGACACTCTCTGTTTATGGAACAAGAAGAGTGATCTCCAGAACCTGGAGAAATGCTATAGGGAAAGACTGACAGGGCTTATGACAAAGCCTCAGTGACAAGGTCCTGTGGAGATGAGGTCACAGGCATGACTGTGCTCTATTTGATGCCTTCCTGAGACTGCCTGTAGGTTCACTGTTGCCCTCCACTTGGAGCCTGCTTTGGGGACATAAGGAAAGGTAGAGGAAAGAGAGTGGTCTGAAGAGGGAAGTGGGGTAGGGGTGGATTACAGCACAGGGACCTTTTGGATTCAGTGGATCAGCAGCATGCCAGGTGACTCCTGGGATTCTTGTATAGGACATAGGGTAGAGGGTGATCTCATTTGTTGATACAGGGAGGCTCAGGTCAAACCAGCCTGTCATATCATAGAGAAGGGAAGCCTGTAAAAAGTGAGTTTAGTTTTGGAGATGCTGTGTTTCAGGTGTTGAGGGAGAGTTACTGGTTTATTTTATAAACCTATCATGGGCCATGTCCATGGAGATGGATGTCTGTCTATCTTAAGGGCAGAGCATTTTGTCTAACTTTGTATATTAGTACCTGTGATCTTGAAAATCTCTTGAAGCCAATGGAAAAATCTCAAGTGTTTATTATGTTTAAATAAAGTCAGAGGCAGCCAAATATGTTTCCATAATGATGATTAAAGTAAAGTACAGTTTATTGCTTAAAAAATCAATTTAGCACATTAGATTGAGTTGAAATAGTATGAACCAAAAATAGATGAAACAAAAGCTAAGTTTGGAGCCAAACATAATTTAATTAGAGTATAAACTCTGTAAATTA